GGAACCGTCTCCAAAGAATTTTCAAAGAATTACTCGTTATTGTTATCTAAAATAATTAGACGAGCCAAAACTAAATACTACGAAGATAAATTTACCCAAATAAAGAGCAACATTAAAAAACTTGGAGCACAATTTCACAAATATTGGGATCAAAGAAGATTTTAAATAACAAACCACTACTCCTGTCCAATAACGATGGTCAGCTTTCAGCCTCTGATACTGCTATTGAGTTCAATAGGTTCTTCTCTTCCATTGGGTCATCCTTTGCAAATGATATTCCATCTTCCAGTACTGACATTAAGGACTATCTTACAGGAAACTATTCACAGTCTCTGTACCTAACGCCTGCTAATTCCACTGATGTTAATGAGATAATCCTTTCCCTTAAAACCAAGTCTAGTGCCCTTGAGGAGATACCAATTTTAATTTACAAAAAAAAAACTCCAGATCTTTAGCCCCTGCTATTGCATTGCTCTTCAACAAGTCACTTGAACTCCAATCCTTTCCAGATATTCTAAAAAAGCGAGAGTAACCCCTGTCTAGAAATGTGGTGATCTCACAGATGTTACCAACTACAGACCTATATCAATCCTGCCTAACTTGTCAAAAATATTTGAAAAAACTAATCTACAAGCATCTTTACTAGCCAAGCACCTTATCTAGCCAAACACAATACACTTAGCTCTTGTCAATATGGCTTCAGACCCAAAAAAGCACTAACGATGCACTTATTAGTATGATTAACTTGATTCATGCAGCTCTTAATAAAAATGAGTTCCCTGTTGGGTTATTTGTGGACCTACGTAAGGCTTTTGACACTGTCAACCACCAAAAACACTCTATGCAAATAAAGGGACCCAGTTTATGGAACTCACTCCCTACTGAATTGAAAAGCTGTCCAACTTTTACATCATTCAAAATCAATACTAAAAAGTTCCTAATTTCATCTTCATAGTTTTTCACTTTTTGCCTTAAAATTGCACTGTATCAATTGCTACCCAATCTCCCAACCTTTATGTTCCCAATTTGTACATCTTTACCATTGTGATCATTGCTGTTTTCTTATATGTGCTGCCAATCTCTTGTATGGTGTTTATAAATCTTGTTTATCTGTATCTTTTGCTACCCAGTCTCCCAATCTTTATGTACTCATTCTGAACATCCTTACCATTGTGATCATTGCTGTCTTATATGTGCTGTCAATCTGCTGTATGTTGTCTATTAACCTTGTTTAAATTACTAATCAAGCTGTCAATGTAATCAATCAGAGCTTTAATATAACAATATGCTTTAATATACCTACTTATCTCTCTCATCTCATTTTTCTCTTGTAATGTATCTTTATCATTTATCAATTCTGATTGTAATTACCTACTTAAAATTATCTGCTAGATTAAGGACCTGCCCGAAACGCTGTGCGTACTAGTGGCTTTGCAAGAATGTATATACTGTACTATCTAATGTATTCTCACAAACCCAATGTACCTTCTTGTATATATATAAATAAATAAATAAATAAATAAACCTTCTTCTTAAATTACATCATTATGGAGTCAGAGGTCACTCCCTGCAATACCTCAAATCTTACCTTACTGACAGGCTCCAGTATGTTTCTGTGAATAATTCCATTTCTCCCACCCTACCCATCAACAATGGTGTTCCTCAGGCGGCATACTTGGCCCTCTCCTCTTTCTCATTTACATTAATAACCTTCCAAATGCCTCCCTACACCTTAAACCAATTCTATTTGCTGACGACACAACCTTCATTTACTCCAGTCCTGACCCCTGTGCTCTAAATGTCACAGTGAATACTGAGCTAAATAAAGTCCATCTTTGGCTAACCGCGAACAAACTCACCCTTAACATTGACAAAACTTTCTAGATTCTGTTTGGCAATAAATCCTCTAATCAAATAAATCTCAGGATAAACAATACCCAAATTTGTAACAAAATAGATGGCAAATTCCTTGGCGTTCTCATTGACCACAAGCTGAATTTCCAGGGGACACATTCTAAATATATCTAAAAAAAGTTTCAAAAACTGTTGGCATTCTTTCTAAGATCAGATATTATATACCTCGCCCTGCCCTGGTGATGCTCTATTACTGCCTCATCTATCCATATCTCAACTATGGTATTTGTGCCTGGGGTTCTACTACCCAAAATCATTTACCTCCTCTAATTACTCAACACAAAGCTGCTATTAGGACAATATCCAACTCTGGCCCCAGACATCACTCGCTACCCCTACTCAAATCTCTGAATATGTTAGATATTAAGTAACTGCACATTCTCTCATGTGTATTATACATATATAAAACGCTGAACTGTAATGCCAATCCTGACCTCAAAAGCTTCATAGAAGGTTGTAGCAGAACCCATGAGCACCACACCAGAAATAAATACAGTTTTGATATTCCTAGAGTACGACTTAATCAAACTAGAAATGCTCTACAAATCAAGGGACCCAGAATGTGGAATGACCTTCCCAATCATGTTAAAGACTGTACGTCTCTCAACCAGTTCAAGATAAAAACGAAGCACTACCTAATAAATTCCCTGTAACCTACCTTACCCCTCTATTGTCAACCAATGTCTTTTTTTTTTTTTTTTTTTTAATGGCGCTGTTTGTCGTCAGAATTGTATTTGTGCTGCTTTTTCAGCCATGTTCCCCCCTTTTTTATCTCTTTTTTTATTTGTTCTCAACTCATTTTATTCTTTATGCTCAATTAGTATTAAGCTTTAGTCATTTAAGTTTTTCATGCCCGAAACGCTTTGCGTAATAGTGGCTTTAGGCATTGTATGTACTAGCTCTATCTATAAAGCCAACAAACTTTGTAAAATCTCTTTATGTATGTACCTTTGCCTAAATAAAAATTATTATTATTATTATTATTATTATTATTATTGTATGTACTAGCCCTATCTATAAATCCATCACTCTTTGTAAAATCTCTTGTATGTATGTACCTTACCTAAATAAACATTTGATTTGATTTGAATTATTCACATAAATATACTGGAGCCTGTCAGTAAGGTAAGACTTAAGGTATTGCAGGGAGTGACCTCTGACTCCATAATGATGTAATTTAAGAAGAAGGTTTTGGTGGTTGACAGTGTCAAAAGCCTTACGCAGGTCCACAAATAACCCAACAGGGAACTCATTTTTATCAAGAGCTGCATGTATCAAGTTAATCATACTAATAAGTGCATCGTTAGTGCTTTTTTGGGGTCTGAAGCCATATTGACAAGAGCTAAGTATATTGACTAAGTATATATTTGGCTAGATAAGAGTAAAGCTGCTTTTAGATTAGTTTCTCAAATATTTTTGACAAGTTTGGCAGAATTGATATTAGTCTGAAGTTGTGAGATCACCACATTTGTGGACAGGGGTTACTCTCGCTTTTTTTTTTTTAGAATATCTGAGAAGGTTTAGAGTTCAAGTGACTTGTTGAAGAGCAATGCAATGACAGGAGCTAAAGATCCGGAGTTTTTTTTGTAAATTAAAGTTAGTATCTCCTCAAGGGCACTAGACTTGGTTTTATGGGAAAGAGTTATCTCAGTAAGTAAGTAACTCAGTAACTAAGCACTACCTAATTAACTCCCTGTAACCTATCTTACCCCTAAATGTCAACCTATGTCTGCTATTTTAAACAATGCTGTTTGTCGACCAAATTGTATATTTGCTATTTTTCTGGCATGTTCCCCCTTTTTTATTTTTATATTTTCTCAACACAATTTATACTTTAATCTCAATTAGTATTAAGTTTTAGTCATTTGTGTTTTTCCTGCCCGAAACGCTTTGCGTAATAGTGGCTTTAGGCATTGTATGTACTAGCTCTATCTATAAATCCATCAATGTTTGTCTCACACCTTGTATGTATATGTACTTTACCTGAATAAACATTTGAATTTGAGTAACATCAGTGGAATTAGCAGGCGTTAGGTACAGAGACTGTGGATAGACACCTGTAAGATAGTCCTGAACATTAGTACTGGAAGAAGGAACTTCATTTGCAAGGGATGACCCAATGTAGAGAAGAACCTATTGAACTCAATAGCAGTATCAGAGGCTGAAAGCAGACCATCGATATTGGACAGGAGTATTGGTTTGTTATTTATAATCTTCTTTGATCCCAATATTTGTGAAATTGTGCTCCATGTTTTCTTAATGTTGCCCTTTGTGTGGGTAAATTTATCTTCGTAGTATTTAATTTTGATTCTTCTAATTATTTTAGATAGCAATGATGAGTAATTCTTTGAAAATTCTTTGGAGACGATTCCTAACCTATACTTCTTCTCAAGGTCATGTTTTTTATTAATGGATTTAAGTATTCCCTTTGTAAGCCAAGGATTGTTTAGCCTTTTAGTTGTGACTTGTTTCGTTAGCATAGGACAGTGGGTGTTATAAAGGCTGAGAGTTTTATGAAGAAAAGATTACACTGCTAGGTTGATGTCCCCTATGTTACCTAATTCGGCTTCCCAGTTGATATTAGCAGCAGCAGCTATAAATTGTCTATAGCAGTTTCATTGTGCAGCCTAAAGCTTATCTCCTTTGTCTCTAGAGGTGGTTTGTTAATGTTAGTTAGGAGAAATGTGGGGTAATGGTCTGTAGTGCTATCGATGATTATCCCTGAAGTAAGCGGAGAGGTTATGTTGGTCCAGATGTGATCAAGAGCCGTGGCAGTACTATCAGTGATTCTAGTAGGTCTAGTGATTGGGCAAAGTTTCTTTCGCCCTGATACTCCTGTTCACCTGGCAGTAACTAGGTACCTGGGAGTTAGACAACTGTTACAGGATGCTTCCTGGGTGTGTGTGTGTAAAAAATTCCGTTGATTGACAGTTGAGAGGCGGGCCGAAAGAGCTAGAGCTCAACCCCCGCAAGCACAACTAGGTGAATACATACATACATATACATTGCACCCTGTTATTATAGAGCTAAGTACAACCGAGAGTTGTAGTAATTAGTGGCGGGAAGATATATAGCCGATGGCAGTATATGTGGCCACGTGAAGGCCGCCATTGTCATCACAAGTCAATGTTTTGATGTGAGGTGATCAGCTGTTGGTGTGTTGTTGGTCGCAAGCGGAAGGTGAGGGGGAAGTGTTGGTGTTTGTGGCTGTGTGTGTTCTCTTGGCTCCTCGCACGCCTTCTCACCACCCTTATATACGACCTGTTGACCACCTGATGTATGTGAAGGTGTGGTGTTGGGTGGAGTGAGGTGAGTGTGAGGCCAACACCAGCCACGGGGAGGCTCCCGGAGGCCACACTCACACTCACGCCACAGGGAGGCTCTTGGAGGCCCCACACTCACGACACAGGGAGGCTCCCGGAGGGCCCACTCTCATGCCACAGGGAGGCTCCTGGAGGCCCCACACTCACACGCCACAGGGAGGCTCCCGGAGGGCCCACTCACGCCACAGGGAGGCTCCTAGAGGCCCCACACTCACACGCCACAGGGAAGCTCCTGGAGGCCCCACACTCACACGCCACAGGGAGGCTCCTGGAGGCCCCACACTCACACGCCACAGGGAGGCTCTTGGAGGCCCCACACTCACACGCCACAGGGAGGCCCATGGAGGCCCCACACTCACACGCCACAGGGAGGCTCCTGGAGGCCCCACACTCACACGCCACAGGGAGGCTCCTGGAGGCCCCACACTCACACGCCACAGGGAGGCTCCTGGAGGCCCCACACTCACACGCCACAGGGAGGCTCCTGGAGGCCCCACACTCACACGCCACAGGGAGGCTCTTGGAGGCCCCACACTCACACGCCACAGGGAGGCTCCTGGAGGCCCCACACTCACACGCCACAGGGAGGCTCCTGGAGGCCCCACACTCACACGCCACAGGGAGGCTCCTGGAGGCCCCACACTCACACGCCACAGGGAGGCTCTTGGAGGCCCCACACTCACACGCCACAGGGAGGCTCCTGGAGGCCCCACACTCACACGCCACAGGGAGGCTCCTGGAGGCCCCACACTCGCACGCCACAGGGAGGCTCCTGGAGGCCCCACACTCACACGCCACAGGGAGGCTCTTGGAGGCCCCACACTCACACGCCACAGGGAGGCTCCTGGAGGCCCCACACTCACACGCCACAGGGAGGCTCTTGGAGGCCCCACACTCACACGCCACAGGGAGGCTCTTGGAGGCCCCACACTCACACGCCACAGGGAGGCTCTTGGAGGCCCCACACTCACACGCCACAGGGAGGCTCCTGGAGGCCCCACACTCACGCCACAGGGAGGCTCTTGGAGGCCCCACACTCACACGCCACAGGGAAGCTCTTGGAGGCCCCACACTCACACGCCACAGGGAGGCTCTTGGAGGCCCCACACTCACGCCACAGGGAAGCTCCCGGAGGCCCCACACTCACACGCCACAAGGAGGCTCCCGGAGGCCCCACACTCACGCCACAGGGAGGCTCCTGGAGGCCCCACACACACACGCCACAGGGAGGCTCCCGGAGGCCCCACACTCACGCGCCACAGGGAGGCTCCCGGAGGCCCCACACTCACACGCCACAAGGAGGCTCCCGGAGGCCCCACACTCACGCCACAGGGAGGCTCCTGGAGGCCCCACACACACACGCCACAAGGAGGCTCCCGGAGGCCCCACACTCACGCGCCACAGGGAGGCTCTTGGAGGCCCTACACTCACGCCACAGGGAAGCTCTTGGAGGCCCCGCACTCACACGCCACAGGGAGGCTCCCGGAGGCCCCACACTCATGCCACAGGGAGGCTCCCAGAGGCCCCACACTCACACACACGCCACAGGGAGGCTCCCGGAGGCCCCACACTCACACACACGCCACAGGGAGGCTCCCGGAGGCCCCACACTCGGTTGATTGGTTGATTATTTATGTCAGAAGAAAAGACATAAATATAATCTGCATGTAGAACCTCTACCAGAAAAATATTTTAAGCCAAACTGAAGATATGTAATTTTATAAAAGTTGCTCTTCTGAGGGGGGTGGGGGTAGCTGCTTGAGGCTACTGTACTGATATAGTGCCAAACTATTAGGTGCCATTTGTTCCTTCTTTACTTTTAGGCTTACCGGTAACCATGAGCCAGGTTGGGAGGTGTAAAGAGCAGTGGCCACCACCAAGGAAGACACCCAGAAACTCAATGAAACCAAACAGACCATTTTTGCTTATAAGAGAGACCATAATCTCAAAATTCACGAAACTAGTGCATGCTCATTTGGCCTACCTTTTTCCTCATTCATTGAGAGGCGGGAGGCAGCCTAGTTCAGCCAGGTGCTCCACCCTCAGTTCTTTGCAGTGCAGTGATTGAAGCAGCGCCTGGTTGCCCTTTCTGTTGCTCTGGCTTCAGAGTGCAGTGATTGAAGCAGTGCCTGGTTGCCCTTTCTGTTGCTCTGGCTTCAGTCTCTTGTGTTTTGGTTTTATGGTGTTTTGCCTTTGTGGGCTGATCCTGTACACATTGGTGCAGCTGAGCCAGGAAGTGTAGTGCACTTGGAGCTGCATGTGCTCACAGCTCTCATCCTTGTGTGATCCTTAGTGCTGCCCTTGCACTCCCGGGGTTGCCTTCCCTTGGAGTGTTCAGGGATCGCTCCCTTAGAAGACCTACTTGCCTGTTGTACTCTTCACCCAAGGTAAGTCGGTTGTCTTTGACCTTGTCTTCCCATGGGTCAAGAGCAATTTTTATCTGGTGGGACGCACTGTGGTTCATGCAACCTCGCCGGCACCATGTGCTTGGCCTTCACAGCGTTATGATTGTGCTGTGTAGGCATACAATTCTCTACTCTATATTCTTGTACAGTATTCGTCCTTGTGTACTGTCTTCCAGTAGAATTTATGTTTAAGGGAAGCATAGCATTCCCATTGCCTGGTCTTACCTGCAAAGCCATTCCCTGTAGACCCCTGGAAAGCCCATGTCTGTTTGGTTATCCTATTGATATTACCCCCCCCCCCTCCCCCGAACCTCCTTTTGCCTCGTGTAAATCTGAGGGGTTGTGCATCCGTGCCACATGGCGACGCTCACACTCATTTCTTCTGCCTCTGTCATGCTGCTTGCTTAGTCGGCGACACCCTCAGCCTTGAGTCGTGTGGGACATATTCTCCACGTGTTACTCTTCATACGAACCATTCTAATGAAGATCATTGTGTCCCAGCAGCGACCAGTTTGCATTTGAAATTTTCTGTGTTGCAGCAGTTTAGGTTGTGTGACGAGGTGGATGCCCCTGAGCTGCCCTGGTTGGTGTTTAGGGACCCCGGTTTGGAGGTGTTGGTTAATTCAACTGTGGTTCTGTTCACACTTCTCTTCCTTCTTCGTAAAAACATAAGAATTGAGGAAATTGCAGAAGGCCTTTTGACTCATATGAGGTAGCTCCTAATTATATCCACCCAAACAAATTCATATACAGTATATGTCTAACTTACACTTGAAAAGATCATGGGATAGGTGTATTACTTCTTCTGTATTATGTTATGTGGTAATTGGTTCCAGAAATCAACAACCCTGTTACCGAACCAGTATTTACCCAGATCTTTCCCAAATCTAAACTTATCCAATTTATACCCATTGTTTCATGTTCTATTGTGTGTTGATACTTTTAATACCCTATTAATATCCCATTTGTTATGCCCATTTGTCCACATGTACACCTCTATCATGTCACCCATAATTCTTCACTTTTCTAGAGAATACAAATTAAGCTTTGTCAATCTCTCTATATGAAAGGTTTCTAATTTGCGGGATTAACTTTATCATCCTACGCTGGATGCATTCTAGCAAATTTATATCCATTCTATAGTAAAGCGACCAAAAGTAAACTGCATAATCTAAATGGGGCCTAACATGAGCAAGATATACCCGAAGCATAACATAAGAGCATAAGAATGAAGGTAACTGCAGAGGGTAAAACCCAGTATCCTATTTCCCTTATTACGAACATTTAAGCATTGATTTTTTTGGTTTTAAATTCTTACTGATTACAACTCTCAGATCCCGTTCGCAATTCGACCGTAATATCAACACCAGCTAGGTCGTATCTTGTAACTCTTTCTCATCATCATTACCTAGCCTCAAAACCTTACATTTGTTAGCATTAAACTGCATCTGCTAATATTTGGACCATTTCAAAACCCTATTTAGATTGTCCTGAAGTGGTAGCGAGTCTTTTTCTGTGTTTATTTCCCTCCTGATTTTTGTATCATCGGCAAAATTGCAAATATTGCTGCTCAAACCTGAATCTAAATCATTTATATATATTATGAATAACAGAGGTCCCAGGATAGAGCCTTGAGGCACTCCACTTACAACATTTTCCCAGTCTGACTTAACCCCCATTTATATTAACTTTGTTTCCTTTGGTATAGCCATGCCCTAATCCAACTTTAAATAGCACCCCCAATACCATGAGGCTTTAACTTTTAATCAATCATTTAATTGTATTCTTTAACTTTTAATTAATGTGGCACTGTATCAAAAGCTTTGCTAAAGTCAAGGTACACAACATCACAAACCTTATCACTATCAACTGCCTCAACTATGTTGGAATAAAATGATAGCAAATTTGTTAAACATAAATGGCCATTTGTAAAACCATGTTGGGAATCATTTATTAATTTATGTTTTGCAAGATTAAGACGAATGGTATTTGCAATTATCGATTCGAGTAACTTTTCCACAATGGACGTTAACCCTTAAACTGCATGAAACGTCATATGATGTGTGACATTGAGCTCAGTTTTTAAACTTTTCTGAAACTCTTTCAAATGTTTTGTGCATAATCTACTAGGCAAATGCTCCAACTTTGTCTAAATGATACCCGTGTAACTTGAAAAACAAGAAAATAAAAAATAATTATAAAATCAGTCTTTCATGTGCATCATGAGTCTTCAGTCTGAGTCTTCAGTTCAGACTCAGGCACATTTCATGTGTCTGAGTTTTTCATGTGCACAAAAATATATAATTCAGCAAAAAAAAAAAAAAAATCAAAAGGAAGGGGGTGGTAGGAGAAAAGCACACACAAACTGTATTGGAGGGGACCTAAACATTCCCTCTAATGCGTTGTGTGTGGTTTCCTCCAAGGCTAAGGGTCCCTTCTTCCAGCCAGAGGTGATACTTCCTTCCCTAAAGAAAAAAAATTATAACATTGAATATTGAAAACTCTAGATCTTGAAATCAGCTGCAAATTATAAAATACCACAAACTGTTCATTTGGTGTTATTATGCTCTCAGAATAGCATATGATCTTCATTTTCATATATTTAGAATATAGGTTTTCAGTATAGTTTACTGTAAAAAAAATTGTCAATGTGGAATTTGAAATATGCACAAATTTAGGCAACAAAAATTTATAACTCCAAACGTTGATTGATTATTTGAAGAAGATTGATGAAGATTAAGCCACCCAAAAGGTGGCACGGGCATGAATAGCCCGTAAGTGGTGGCCCTTTTGAGCTATTACCATTATCAAGAGATGATACTGGAGATCTGTGGAGGTGCAACTGCACCCTGCATGATGGGAGATGTCTCCCGTGTCCAAACGTTTAGAGTTTATGAAAAATCAATGCTATAGGGATTGTAGAACAGACAGCTGTGCACACAAAATGTAAAAATGATGAGAATCAGTCAGAAACTAGATTTTTGGATACTGAACTAAGTTGGAATTCAAATTATAGATATAATTGAAGTTATCGACAATGAATAAGGCAGTTCTAATTCATGAATTTACTTGTATGTTGTAATAAGCATTCATACTCAAATACAGTATGTGAAAGTTGTAGGTCACTAGGTGTTGAAATGAAGTCAAGAAAAAATAACCCCCCAAAAACAAAATATAGGGATAATTATAATAATTATAATGATTTAGGGGATATATTTAGGGTATACTTCATATAAGTAAAAAAAAAAAACCCTAATCTGGTCCCTAATCATCAAAACAACCTAAAGAAACGAGGTTTCTTTTAAAGGTTGGGTTTAACCAACTAACCTTTAAACTTCTTTTAAACCCAACCAACTTCTTTTAAACTTTAGGTATAACCATTAAAACAAGTTTTTTAATAGAGTTTGAAATCTGTGAAAAAATCAGCCAAAAATAATTAAAAGTCCCAAATTCTGAGAGTTGTGACCGTTTTATTTGTTGACAAATTTAATTCTGGCTTCACATAGTTAGGAAGGCGCATACATTCTCCAGGATGTATACGTTACAACAAATTCAAATAATAAACAAAGGAGGAAAAAACTTAAAACCTAAAAAAAAAAAAAAAAAAAAATCCATTTAAAAAATATTTTTTGGACATTGTTGAAAGTAACTGATCATTACATTGGGTAATGTATTTATATGAGTTATAACAAAATAGTGCATAATAACATACTTATTCATTATTATTTGTGTTGTTATGTGTTACTCAGCAATGCTATAAAGGCACCAGCTGGATATTCACTTTGTGGACACTTCTTTCTACTATTCTTCTTCTTCGTTGTGCATTGGACAGGTGTTTGCATATCTTTATTATTATATTATCCATCAGTTCCAATTAATAGCTGTTCTCCTTATCAACAATTTTTTTTTTTTTTTAAATATTCGTCTAAAATCAATTTCTGAAAATATTTTGATGAAAGTTTCATGAAGCTGAAGCCAATAAGTCGGAGATTTGTTTAACATTTTTAAGTAATTTTGACATAATTCGAATATTTTTTTAATTATACCCCACATATGCTGAGCAGTTTAAGGGTTAAGCTAATAGCACCAGGTGTTTTATTACTTACACCTCGAGAAATAAATCCCAGTGTCCTATTTGCCTTATTTCAAACATTTATGTATTGATTTTTTTGGGTTAAATTCTTGCTACTTATGACTTGGATCCGTTTTGCAATCCGACTTCACCATCTCAACACCATCTAGCTCATATCTTGTAACTGTCAGCATTACTTATCTTCAAAACCTTACATATGTGAACATTTGGGCATAGTTTTCCCTTCCTCTGATCCTCCCTCCCTGCTTCCAGTCTTGAAGTGTCTGAGGGTTTCAGGGTCGGGGTACGGTTTAGCTAGCGATGTGACTTGGTTCCATCTGATTAGGGCGCAGACCAATTGGGTCTACTGGTCCTGCTGTGTCTATTGGGTTTTCCTTTCAGGCAGCCCCATCCCTTGATGGTTTTCCTTTGGACTCTGCTTCTCTATCCTGGGTGGTGGACATGAATGATGGCTCTGCCCCGGGGCCCCCTGCAGAGGGCAATGGGCAATGGGGGAGTCGGAGATGGGTCACATTTGACGCTTCATGGGGGTCTTGTGCCTTCCATAGAGGGTTTTATGTTGCAGGGAAGGGGTTTTCGTATCGTTCTCATTATAAGTTTAATTTGAGTGCAGCTCTTCCCCAGGGTTTATTTCCAGGTGCCTTTGGGTTCTTCAGATTTGTCCTGGAGGTTTCCTAACTCGAATTTCCTGTGCATGGCTTGGGGAGGTCCTTTGTGTGTACCTCTTGCATGACTTGGATTACCCCTTATTGATGGACCTGGCCTCTTTTGAGTTCAGGTCTTCTCCTTATTGGATACATTACAAGATTCGGGAGTCATCCTGGCTAGTAGATAATCCTCTGTTCTTGCGTGTGGCTTGGCATAGTTTCTGTCAGTCCTGCTTGCTTGAGTGGCATGAGGTGTCTGCCATGTTAAAGGTGTTTTGGAGAGGGGTGTCTTTTGAACATCTCAACAACTGCCTATTTGCTCTGCTCTCCCAGGGGATGCTCCATGATCGGGTTCCAAAGTTGTTGGCTATGCTGGTTGCAGATGACCATCATGCTCGTTTGTACCTGGCTCCGTCATGTGTATCCCAAGCCTTCTGAAGCTCTGTTTGGCTTGGCTCACAGAGGACGTTAGAGTGCTTAGCAGTGTTCCTCTTGCTGGGGTTGCCTATTGCTACAGCTGCATCAGCTCCTCAAGCTGTATGCCCCTATTCTTTAGGAGGCAGTGGCCATGTTTTTTACCTCCCGACATGCATATCGACAGTGTGTTTTTCCAATCTTTGGATTTGGCATAAGCCCTATCTCTCTTCTCTGCCTCTGCCTTTTCTCTGCTCTTGTTTCTGGAGGATGTCGGGGTGCAGTTTCTGTCCTCTGTGGTGATGGCATATTGGCAGGTTTCAAACTTTTTGTGTTCTTGGGGGGAGTTCCTTTGGCAGTTATCAAAGCTGCGTTCTCTATTGACGCCAGTAGAGCGTTTTGCTCGCTGACTTTCTGGGTGCTTTCCCTGTGATGGCATAAGTAAATAAATAAATAAACTGATAAATGCCACTGATCCCTGTGCCTCTGTGAGGGGTGCCAGGTTCTGTTGCTGGTCCCCAGTTTAGCCCATTAGAACTCTGCAGCTGATGTGACCTAGTAGATGGTACATTATCAGTAATATTTAGTTGCGGAGCTTCTCGGGTTCATCCAGAAATTGGCGTTTCATTACATTCAGCACTGGGCTTTCCATTCTTTATCCTCTTCTTGGCTTGATATTGAGCCCCTTAGTGTTATTTCTGATTTGAGGTAACCATTAATCTCTGGGACACCCATATCTTTCCATAAGTTATACAGATACAGTATATTTATTTTGGGAGTCCCTAACATGATCATTCCACCCAGGCCTTCCGCTTTGTCCATTTGTGAATATATAATACAATACAATAAAATATTGGAATACGGTACTGTTTGAAAATTTTATAATTACTGTATTATTTATTGTAAATCCCATAGTATGCATAGTATTTCAAGGCACAGTACAGTATTGTCAGTCAGTGAGTGCTTAACCTTAATTCATTAATTGTAGAAGTAATGAACAAATGTAGATACGTTTTGTCTTACAGAGGTGATAACAAGAATGTAGGTGTGGTTGGTGTGATAGTAGCTGGACTCAACACTATAATGCTTCCAGCTTCTGATATGCTTCCCCTGCAAGATGAAGCTGTCACTATAGAACCGCAGTATGATGGTGTCATCATGCTGAGTCCTGAGGCTGTGCTGTTTAGTGATGCTAAGCCCCGTCCTGATGGTAGCAAAGTTTACCATGTTTTTGAACGGACTCTTGGGGAACCAGCACGAGATGAGGCAACTCATAGTGAAGACTTTCAATCTCGACGAGAGCAGCTTTTCTCACAGGCACATGAAAACACACTTCATGATATACAACAGGTGATTTATAGTCAGTGTAAATGTAATTACGAATAACTTGCTAATTGATATGTTAAATTTTTTTTAATGTGAATAGAGGGTTTTTAACTACCGCTCCGCGCACCTGGTTTCGGCAAAAACTTCATAGTGCAATTGTCAAGGACATATTTTTGTTGTTTTTATAAATGTTCAGGTAAAGTTAATGTCAAAATGTTTCCAAACTCAACCATATTCATTTAAAAAACTAAGAGTGATGAAAACATTAAAAAACATTAAAATATAACCTAATTTAAAAAAAAAGCACAACTCTTAGAGAGCCTTAGGGCACTCTGCGCAGTACAGTGGTTAAATATGTATTTGTTTTTATGATTCTCGTCTGTTAATAAAAAAAAAATAAAAAACTTTGAAAACTAGTGTTAGCTCATTTGCCACCTCCCCCACCTGCTCATTTGGGGGGAGGTAGCTCGTAGTCAGTCTATGTAGTCGTCTATGACAACAGTTCTATGGCACAAATGTTATACAGTTCTATGGTAGATGTGGGACCGACCCGATTACCAGGAGGGAGGTTGTCAGGGAGCCACCAGGACTCGCCCAGACATTGCATTTCATTACATTCAATGCTGCTTTTCTGGGAGGAACCCCTTGTAGTTCCCTGAAGCTATCTATCTACACATGGTAAAGGAAACACAGGATACTTACTAGGGAGGAGAAAGCACAGCAGGATCAAGTTGAAGAAGAGACACTAGGCCATAAGACACGACCCAAAGTCACGCAAGAGCACCAGGGCCTGGACACATTCACAAGATACCAGGCTGTCTGATCCTGGTCAGAGTCCTACAAGACCCCAGTACCTGAATATTGGCCCACAACATGTTGGTGAATGCAGTCGAGAGAGCGGCATATTTTTGAATGTCATGGGCACAAGGGTAGACTGCAGGCTGGCTGGATTTAATAATACTGTGGACTACCTGAGAAATATTAGTTTTGGAACAGGGGACCAAGGTGACCGGATTGACTTGCAAAGCATTCATCGAGACTTCGGAAGCATGATGGTGGTAGTGGAGAAGGTGTCACCGACTCAATAGCCAGTATGGTGGAGGCAGAGGGATTGAATGTTGCCACATGGCACAGATGATATACATCCCTCAAACTTACACGGAGCAAGAGCAAGGTTCATGGAGAATATCCACAGGGATCATCGAACTTGCAGGGGACTACCAGGGCCAGAAAGAATTGACCAAGCAGGACACCCAGGCATTGGGACACTTCACTGGACCTAAAAGAATACACCACCGAATCTATGCCAACAGAATCAAAGTAAAAGGATGGTGTCTGTGTTTTGTAATGCATGAGTGAACTAAAAGATAGAAATAACATAGTAGGCCAACATAACCTGGCTCTGAAGGCTGAACTCGGCAAGATAATGTGTGGACCAGTGAAGAGCAGGGGTGCCATAGGCACAATCAGAGAATACTGTATAAACATCAGAGGTCCGCGGTTGTTCAACGCTCTCCCAGCGAGCACCAGTGAAGAGCAGGGGTGCCATAGGCACAATCAGAGAATACTGTATAAACATCAGAGGTCCGCGGTTGTTCAACGCCCTCCCAGCGAGCATAAGAAATATTGCCGGAACAACCGTGGACATCTTCAAGAGGAAACTAGATTGTTTCCTCCAAGGAGTGCCAGACCAACCGGGCTGTGGTGGATATGTGGGCCTGCGAGCCGCTCCAAGCAACAGCCTAGTGGACCAAACTCTCACAAGTCAAGCCTGGCCTCGGGCCGGGCTTGGGGAGTAGAACTCCCAGAACCCCATCAACCAGGTATTAACCAGGTATCATAATGGCAGACATGACAAACTCTAAATGTAGAGTGCTCATATGGCCATTGCTCCCTGCGCCTCTCTGAGGGGGTTCTCTCTCTCTCTATCTCTGAGTTCTAGCTCGTGGCCCCCCAGTAAGCACTCGAACTCCAAGAACTGAGGGTACCAAACTAATATGGCACAAGTCAGTTTAATAGCTTCAGGGAGCTGACAAGGCTCCCCTCAGAAAACCACTGTCACAGACCTTGAACATCTTTTGGAAATGGAGCCTAGATGCTAGTGATATCCCTGACATACTTAAAACAGCAGAGACTGTGCCACTTCACAAAGGGAGGTATTACAGCTGACGCAAAAAATTATAGACCAATAGCTCTAACGTCGCACGTAATAAAAAAAATCTTTGAAAGAGTGCCAAGAAGTAAGATGACAAAACACATGGAATCATAGTGTGTGTATAACTCTGGACAACATGGGTTCAGAACAGTGTGCTCCTGTCTTTCACAATTACTAGACCACTGTGACATGGCCTCAGATGCCTTGGAAGACAAAATATACACTATATAATATTCACAGATTTCACATAAGTCTTTGACAAATGTGTTATTGCACACAAAATGTGCACAAAAGGAATTACTGGCAAAGTAGGGAAATGAATCTTTAAATTCCTAACAAGCAGGACCCAAATTGTGATGGTCAACAAAGTTAAAACCGATTCATCCACTATTAAAAGCACGGTTCCCCAAGGTAATGTCCTTGCTCCAGTACTTTTCCTCATCTTCATGTCAGATACAGACAAGGATACAAACTATAGTATTGTATCATCCTTTGTAGATGACACTAGAATATTCATGAAAGTAGACAATACAGATGACACAGCAAACCTCCAATCTGATGTTAATCAAGTCTTTCAATGGGCCACTGAAAATACCATAATGTTTAATGAGGATACATTTTTAATTACTGCACAATGGAAAAAAATTAAGACATCAAAGCAGTAACCACATATAAAACAATCAAACCACACTATTGAAAGAGAGAGCAATTTAGAAGATTTAGGAATAATCATGTCGGAAGATCATACTTTTAAAGAACACAGCAAAGTTGCGGTCATAAATGCAAGAAAAAGGACAGATTGGATAACAAGAACCTTTCACACAAAAGATGCCACACCAATGATACTTTTTAAGACAATAGTGCTCTTTAGAGTGGAGTATTGTGGCACACTAACAACCCCCCATTCAAAGCTGGAGAAATTGCTTTGAATGCAGGCAGGAGAGATACATAATAATTTACACTTGGAAAATATTAGAAGGACTGGTTCCAAACCTTCACACAGAAATAACACCACTTTGCTCTCATCCTGTAACTACACTTAGGTAATTACATGAGACCAGAAGGCATTGTAGGATGTACAAAATAGTCCCACTGAAGAGCAGAGGTACAATAGGCATGCTAAGAGAGAACTCGAACATCAAAGTCCCAAGACTTTTCAACACTCTTCTCCTACACATATGGGGCATAACTGGCCGACCTCTTGCATTGTTCAAAAGAGAACTCAGCAAGCACCTTCCATTGATACTTGATCAACAAGGCTGCGACTCACATCAGGCTGCAGCAAATAGCTGCATCAAACAGCCTGGTGGATCAGACCAGCAACCACATGGCCATCCCTGGTCAGAGACCGGGCCATGGGGGCATTGATCCCTGGAACCTTTAATGGGTAGTTAACAGGTAACTAAGACTAAAGAAGTGCAATGTTGAAGCCAAAGGACCCCGAGTTCGATGGTCATCCAACACCAAGGCAGTCGAAAGAGAGGGGAAACCACCCCTCTCTGCTTGGGCTTAGTCCAAGCAGAGAGGGGCAACCCAATGCACGACACACACCAACACAGAACTGGGTGCGATGTCACTGGCTGACTGTGAGCTACCTCCTACCTCCCCCCAAACAAATGGGGAAAGTGGGGCAAACGAGCTGGTGTTAGTTTTTTAATTTTTTTTTCACTTGTTTACATTTATTGGGAGCTCTTTACGCCGTTCATAAGGCTACAATCTCGACTGTAACCAGCTGTGGTTTTTGTTGTGCTGACTTTCTGGGTGCCTTTCCCGGTGGTGGCCTAAATAAATAAATGTAAATTCCGCTGTCGCCTGCTCCTCTGTGAGGGGGCCAAGTTCTGGCTCTTTGTCCATGGTAGGTCAAATAGAACTCCTCAGCTGATGTGACCCAGTAGATGGTACAGTCATAGTGACTTCAGGGAGCTACAAGGGGCTTCCATAGACAATAAAGAGTGAATGGAATTAGTTTGGTGGAAACTTGTGGTGGATGATCTGTCCATGCACAGCAGACCAGTTCAACATAACAGATAGGTTTTCAGATTATTCCAGATTCACTACTTACAGGACCATCATTTGTCTCATCACGGCACAACGTGGGTTACACACAGAAATCACAATAACGTGATATATCAAATATATCATGTCATGGTACAGTTGACTAAGGTGCATCTGGGAGCATCCCGTGCATGGGTTCGAACCCTCATCACAGCTCTTGTGAATGTGGGGTTACTGTACTTTTGAAAAACAAAAAAATACTCAGCTAGTTAGGTCTCAGAAATACTTTTACAATGTCACAATATTTACAATGCCCATCTTCCTGTTTAGATAGCACTTACAGTAACGATGTAGACCTTTGTACATATGATGATGTAATGGACAATTAGAAAGTAGAATTTAGTACTATTGAATTTAGATAAACCAGGATAGATATTTATTTATGTTGCTAATAAAACGTAACCTAACCATCCTAGGCCTAATACTTGCTATCTGAGGCCTAAGATTAGTATATATATGTGCTATAGTAGGCCTAAGAATTAAGTTTGGTGTTTAGCTTTATTTTTACGGACTATAAAATTAATAGTACGAAATTCTACTAATTGTCCGTTACGTCAGTATATGTATGATGGTCCACTTCGTTACAAAAAGTGCTATCTAAATAGGAGAATGGGTTGCAATTACACAACATTCGTTTTGCCTTTGTTAACATTTATAAATAAACTTGGTTTGCATATTTATTTATTGTACAGTATAATGATTACTCGAGAGTAGCTGGACTTATTTGCTGGTAAATGTGTTAGACTGAAGACAGCTTTACTAATTAAAAGTGTACAAGAATTGAGTTGCTGTAGCTTTTAATCAGAAGTACAAT